ATTATAAAACGTAGATATTAAATTATAAATAATATTTTTTAGATAATTGGTGTGAAAAATTTTAAAATTGATTCATTTAAGAATTTTTAATCCAAAAATACTTGGATGACTTATTATCCCAAATCCTGCCAACACTAAATTTTATGTTTTATCCTCCACGTACTAATATTAATATTTGTATGAATACTTCATTATCAAAAATGATTCGTAACTAAAACTGTCTTTGATATTTTTATTATACACAGCTACACTTTCTATTATATTTTCCATAATTTATTACTATTAATCACTTATAATATAAATATGTTTTTTCTTTCAATTTTAGTGAGTACATATATGCATACAATACTTTTTACCTGTATATTATAATTATATGTAATACTTTGCTTGTACTACAGTAAAAATAAAACGTCAAATAGTATTACTTTAATCAAGAATAAAAATAAAAATATGGTAGAATACGTTAGTATCAGTTCAATATAAGAAGTTGAAGTTTTTTTTTAAAAAAAAAGAAAATGTGTGGTAAAATATTTCTGTATAAAAAAAAGACAGATAATATGAGGCACTTTTTAAAAATGGACTCATTGAAATTGTACCAATAATAAGTTAAATGACGGCTTTTAATAACCGTGTGTGATAAAATTAAATGTTCTATTGACCATCAATTAATTACTTTATTGTATTAACTCTAAAAATGCTTAAATTAAAAATCTTATATTATTAGGTACTTATTTACAATAAATACATATTATAATATTAAATAATATTTAAAAAATAGGTATATATGCAATATATAAATACAAATATTTATAATTATCACTTAAAATTTATAAAAACAAAACCTTTTTTTCGTACATACAAAAATCTAATTATAATTAACATAGTATCTCATGACTCGTGAAGTCATGAGTAATATTTATCTATAATACATGTGCATTATAGTAGTATAAACCTTATATAGGTATGTTTAGTACGCTATACGTAGTTTATTTTTTCTCCTGTCAGAAAGTTACGTCAACCCCCGTAAACGATAGGTTTTAAGGATTTGATAGTCTATTATACATCCAGGGATTTTGTGATGGCATCAAGTGTCGTAGCAAGGAATAATGGGAAAACGATTGGATTTCACTTTAATACGTTGGAAATCATTGATAATTGAAGTCCAGGATCCAGACAAAGATAGATTGTTCAAGATGTTTTGAGAAAATCCCCATGATGCACGTGTGTCGAGAATGGCCGATGACCAAATAAATGTCCATTGATATATAACGGGGAAATAAACTAACTTGTATGTACCTAGTCTTTCCACCAAACAGACTTTATTCAATTTATTTTTTCTTATCTCTTAAAATTTAAAGAAATAAATAAAAATAGATATTTAAAATATTATTTTCCAACTAAATAATAAAAAATTCCAATAAGCATTAATACGTAAAAAAATGTACTTCAATGAATATAAAAAAATAATTACAGTATTTTAGATTTTAAGTTAAACAAGAAAAGTTATAAGCTAAACCTACTAACCAATGTTGTTTAATATACAATATTACAATAATAAAATTAAACTATCCATAATTCCCATGAAATGAGAGAAAATTTACAACTGCCAAACTTTATGTTTTTCATGGATAAGTTTTAACTATTTGTTTTTACAAATTATGCAATTAAAATAAACTCATAATGTCGTATATCATTAATAAAAAAAAATAAAATATATATATATATACATAAAAGGAATATTAGAATATTATAACTATAAGCGGGATTTAATATTGTGATTAATTCAGTGGATTTGGCCTCAATGTAAGATGAGAGGAAGAATTTAAACCCTTTGCAAAGGGTCCGATTATAATCAATCATATTTCATAAAATCCAATGCCAAGGGGATGTGGTGTACTAGAAGCGTTATCAACATTGGCCAAGATGGACTGGTGAACAAATATTTACAAGCTTTTTCTACCCTTTATCAGAATATATTTACTTTAAACTCCTAACCATCATTTAAAGTTTTATTTTCATTATCTTTTAAGGTGTGACTAGTTTTAATTAAAGAAAAATTAACCGTTTGAAATATTTTCATAGTAATAATTAATTATTTTTTTCCTATACTTAAACAATTAACGATAATATTGTTTTAATAAAAGAAAAATATTACCTTATTTCTTTATTGTTTACTAACTGCACAACAATGCAATCTAGTAATACCATTGAGTATAAATTATACTTAAAGTATTAGTAATACTATTAAAATAAGTAATGAAAATATCAAAATAATTAGGAAACCAATGTATAGCAGTTAGCATAGAAAAAAAGAGTACTTAAGAAAACTAAAAGTGGTTATTTCTTGTGTTTATTGTAACATAGGAGTATTTAAATCTATTCTATTTCAAACGTACCAATGGATCAAGTGAAATGATAAATAATCTAAAAGCAGATTTGAATTATTTGTCAACTCTACTTTTTGACTTTCCTGCCTGTTGTACTTTATCCCTATAAAACTTAAAAGGTTTATTTACTCGTAACTAGGTATTTTATGAATTTATAAATTTTCGGATAAAATATAAAAATGTGGAAAAATCAGTTTTAAGTAAAATTAACAAATAATTTAAATTTATTAATATAAAATATTTAACGTTACTTTTATAAAATTCTTTTTTTTTAAATATTTTTTTTTTATGGCATTATTATATATTGATTAATGATATTAAACATTATTATGATATCATAGACTAAATACAATTTCTTTGATTTGAAAAAACTCAGATATTTTTAAATAATAAAAATATAAATTCAAAACTATTAATATTATCATCCAAAACAATGTTTCAAGTGAAGTATAGATTTCATTACGATAGATTAACACACGCATGAATTTTCGATATATATATATATATATATTATATATAAGATTATTTCTCTTACTGATAAAAGAAAAAAAAAGAAAATGTAAAATATCCCACTCAAGCAATAGATAATGTAAAAACCAAGTAAAATAAAAGATATAGATACCGTCGATATGAAAATATATGCAAATGTTACCTTTTTATAGATTTGGATCGAAACTAATATTTCCCATGGGCTGGCATGGTGCATAAATAACAACCCTGTTGGCTATACTTATTGGATTTCGATAGTGAGTGAGTAAATAACAACAATTGTCAAAGGTTAAAGTAAATTATAACAGTATTCAACACCACAACAGCATACAAAAATAATATGAAATATTATTATAGGTAACATTGTTTTCATTATAAAATAGCACAACTAACATAAATCAATAATCAAATTTTTTTTTTTTTTTTAAATCTTCATTTTAAATTTAAGTATGAACAACAAAACAGACGTATGTTATATTTTAAACTATATAAAAAATAAACACTCGATCAATTAAAAATACTACTTTTATTATTTTCAGTCATTAAATCGTTTTATTTTATTAATATTAGTTTAATCGAGTAACCCATACCTATATTAATATAAATAATAATACCTATGTTAACAAATCTTAAGAATTTACTTAACACTTTCTTTTTAACATTTAAAAAAACTAATCCTATTTTCATACCTTGAAAATACTTCATTATAATGTTCTTGATTCTCAATATTTTTAAACAGATTTTATCGAAAATACAAAAATCTCAAGTAAAAACTATTTTATGCTTAAACCAAAATCAAATGTTTTATTGTTGGATTTTATTCAATATTATAACTTAAATAAAATATATAATATTATAGGTGTTACTTATTTACAAACAAATCTATTTTGTATTTTTTTTATTATATTCAATTCAAAAAAATTGTTAACATTTAAAAAAATAAAAATAAATAATACTGCTTGAAATATTTTTTAGAAGCGTATTAGTATATATTACAATAATATATTCCTTTACTCTACGTATGTACAGACGTATCAAACAGACATTGTATCTATAGTAAGGACATTTAATACTAATAAATTCTAATCACAGATCATATAATTACTTTTTAGTCAATAAATTCATATACCAAGCCGTTAACCATGCAATGGTATGCTCTGAACTAGAAAATAATATTTATTTTAGTTTTAAGAGAAGTTTATAAGTACCTACTTCTTTTAAAACCAATTGCACATTGTACAGTTAAATTTCCATTTTCTAGTAACATGTAAATATAATTTAAATAGATACTACAAACAAAGTTATCAATTTTACAATATTTAACAACAATTTTCACTTTCTAGGTAAACTTAGCACCATTTAGAACCGTTTTTTCAATTATATATAATGATTTATCATTAATTTTTGTCTTAAATTAATAATAAATAATATATATCTACTATATTACTATCTTACACATATTAATTTAATACAGTTAAATGAATAGACATTAACCAAAATATTTTAATAATAATAAACGATATAGGAAATAGATCAAAAAATGTATCATAAATTATCGACAGTTCATAAAAATTATTTAAATCATACAAAAATTTGACAACTATAATATAATTTCAAATGTGCATATGTATATTAAATGCAGTGTTTACGAAATAAAAATTGAATACATATTTAAATGTAATGACATTTAATGACTGCGACCTTTTAGACACCATTAGGCATCTATTGTTTTCCCTAAAACTTCTAATTACAATTCGAAAATTAGTCTTAGAATTCTACATTGCATAAAGGTTTGTTCAGATAAAAGCTATAGTTTCCACCACGTTTTCCTTTCCCGATACAGGGCAGTGGTAGACAGGAAGTGTAAAAGGAAGGGAATATTTAAAATGGCGCTCGGCCAATTTGTATTCTGGTCGTTTTACGTTTATCCTCTCCCAAAAGCCTCTAATACCGGGCCTTTTAAAAGGCATTTAGACAAAATGAGCTAAACATAGATTTACCCGAGATTAACACAGCGAGAGAATTCGTTTTATACATATTTTAATTATTACAGTTGTTTCATACCACTAGATTAAACTACGTATAAATATATTATAAGTATACTAAACAAATATTGTCATTTACCTTAGCGTTGACATCTGCAGCTATTGAGATCAACACTAATAATAAAACTGGCAAAACTATACGGATCATATTTCTTCGCCCAGTCTAAAACAAAAAAACAATAATATTAAACTATAGCACAATAATTTAGTAATAATAATAATTTAAACATATTGAATTTTATATTTCAATAAAATATAGCATAATCCCTAAACATAAGATTTCGACCTCTGAGTAATGCTACACATTTACAAACACAAAAAAAAAACTATCAAACGTGATATTATTAACAGTCACCTACACGACCTGCAATTAATTCAATAGAGCCGTAAAATATCAAGTTTATACAATAGCGTGAGGTGCATAAAATACCGCCAAAACTAATGCTACGAATGATTAAAGTAATCAAATCTAAACCCTTAAAATCATACGACAAAAATGATCTTTGTAGTTATATTGGAAGAAAAAACGGCTTCTAGATTCGTAATGGCTTATTGAGTGGTAAAATAAATATATTTGGTAGAGACCTGAGATGTGTTACTTTGAATATTACGTGTTACTTTTTTAGAAGGCCCCAAAAAATATACCTAAAGACAATCGCCATTTTACGGTCTTCAAGACACAATCACTACGCTGTGTGATGTATGGCAGAAGCAGCAAATAATGAACCTGATGTCTGAATAAATATGTATTCATATGTCCGAGGAAATTTTCAAGAATAGAGAAGCAAAAGGACAGTTGCTTTAAGGCTTTTTAAAACTTGTCTTCTTCTTTTAAACTTTATTTTTTTAGGTTATTTTTTTTTTTTTTTTTGTAACTGAACTCTTTTTGATTACGTTAATTATAATAAAATTATATACCAATGATTAATATGTTTAGATACTAATGGCTCGATAGTAATGAGTAATGACCAATAGTACGTTAAATGATAAAGTTTTAATAAATATAGGTAAATACTATTTTTTATTAATAGGTATGTGCTTAAAATTGTCTATAAAATTTTAGAAATCCACATGTGTTGTCTCCATTAAAGTTCAGCTGAAATGTGGTTAACATTTTTAGTATTCGGCTCTTGTTTTTATGTTTTTATATCACTTAACTAATTATTGTTATTTATATTTTATTTCACGGTATTTTAAGTGTTTTAAGTGTCTGATGAAACTATGTTAAATCTATTACCATCATAAAATAAATTCAAGGATATAATGTATATATATTATAAATATTAATCAATAATCTGAATGTCTTTCTGAAAGTTACGTAAAATTAAAATAGGTATATATGTATTTTTATTTAATGTTTTTTTTTTTTTAGTTTATCAATAATGATTTTTACAGAACCTTGAGTCATATATGTATACATATAATATTTATTTAGCACATTGTCTACTATTACTGGTGATGACAGTTAACGAATGTAGTGTGATTTTAAAAACTCTCCACCTATTTTAACATAAGTCTAAATAGGGAAGGCTCAGTTGTCTAAACATTTAATTTATACCCACACTCAAGTTCTAGAAAATCTAATATTTTATATTCAACTAACGATCATTTCATTATTTTAGATTATTTATAGTAAGAACTTAAGTATTTTAACATAAAATTTAATTTCGTTTTAAAATGTAAACTATAAATAAAATTGTTTAGATATAATAGTTAAGATACTCACTTTAATTAAGTTTTATTTTTTGGTATTATAAATCATGTATTTATTATCTATAAAGTTATATGCAAATGTGCTCCTATTCATATACTTATAAATTAATAATTCTCTTAAATCTATAATTGAAAAATTTAGATATACCTATTCTATATTATTAACCCAAATAATATGAAAATGACATGGCATTTATATAAAATAAAAAACATGTTAAATTTTATTTTCTAAAAAACATTAATACAATATACTTTATAATTTATTATGGAACTGGAAATGAATATTAGAATATAACTATATACTATACAAAAATGTTTATGTATACAACATATTGTAATGGGCAAACATACATTATAAAAATATATTTATGTTCTATTTTAATTATCTACTTAGAAAAATTTAAAATAATGGTTTTTTTTTTTATAATATATAAAGAATAATAAAATGTTACAATACGCCTTGTAATTAAATTATATACACATATTACGCATGTCACTAAACAGTAAATACTCAAGAGAACTCGTGTTTACCATAAAAATTTTTAATTAGTTGTAAATAACATAATAAAATATTTTTTTTTAAATACTATTTTATAAAACTAAATAACATATATACTATAAATATATATTGTTATTGTATATTAAGTGTACTACATAAATTATATAGGTAATAATAAATAAAAATATTAATATTAAACATCAAACATTAATCTTAGAAAATAGCTTAAAAATAAAAGATATCTGCTCTTACACACCATATTCACTAATAAAACCATAGGTAATTTTTCTTTCTGTTTAAATTATCGACAGTAGTAATCGATTGTTATTGGTTATTGTCGATATAATGACTAAATCTCTTCTAATGATATAAATCGGTTAATTTAATTTCGTTGAAAAACCTAAAAAAGTCAACAACAAACGTCCGTCGGTTACCCTATCGTGCACGGAACACTATGTTGTTATACGCCCTGAAAAACTACCCGAAACTCTGACCTTTAGGGACTCTAGTCAGCGTTGGTCCTGCGTTTGACAGTCGGCAAAACGCACCGTCGGCTATACGCAATTTTGGTAGGGGTGGGGGTGCGAAAGCATAAAAACGTTCCTTGTTGTTTGGCCTCTCTTCCCTACTTACCATCAGTCACCACTATCACCTCCACTCCAACATATATATTATATTGAGCCCTCCACATTCTACACATATACCACCCGTCAAACGCTACCCCACGGACCTACCTAACTAACAACAGCATGCAATAATTTATTTATAGTTTTTCGACTGCCTCCATACTAACCATGCTGTATAGTAGTAGTATAGTATACGAGAAATAAAAATTGGTAGAAGTATTATTATTATTAGTAGTAGTAGTAGTAGTAAGCTAAATATATGTATGTAATATAAAACAAATACGACCATCTACCACAATTCGTGTGCCACTGTCGCGTAAAAAGACAAAATCAATATCGGAATGTTATATTTTGCTCAAACTTTCAACCCCACTTACCCCACCAAAACAATCCACCCGACCACCAACCTTCTAACCGACGTACACACATACATATAATATATAATAATTTATATCCAACTCCACGCACAACAAGCACGTGTCACACTATTAAATATATACTTAAGTGGCATATTGATGGACGGATAATTCTGTGATTAATTAATAAATCGGATGATAGAATAAATCATTTTCAGAGCACAAATCATACAAAAATACCATTTTTTAAACCCGCCACCGAAATATCCATGTACAACGAAAAGATCGGAGAACGCAAAAGGTATAAGACTCAAGTTATTATTAAAGTTTTTTTCATTTTTTTATACAACGCTTTGTTATTTTTTAATTAAAGTCACTAGTATTCCCTTTTCTGACATCTAAACCAGAACTGTTTAATTATTATTATATTTTGAATAGATAATTTTTCAAAATGTTTACAAAAAGTTTAACGTTTGTATTAATTGCCAGCTGTTTCTGTCGATACGTATAATATCAAATACTTACTTTGAAATACAATTTAACACAACACGAATAATTTTAATATTTTACATTATGTTATATACTATAAATTTCTAAAATAATAATTACAAAATAGGTATTTATTTGCATAATAAGAATAATTTTTAAACTATTGTTAAATGTAAAAAGTTATTATTGATTTTCTTTTTTTTTTTTTTGTTAGAATGTGATATACCTCACAAAACATTGTCTCTACAGAATTTATTTTTCGTACTAAAAATCTATACTACTTAGTGCTTACTCACCAAATACTGCCAACTATCACTTATAATTCTTATACTCTTATTCGTCAACAATTTACAAATTTAAATATTGAATTTGATTACCTACTGGAATAGTATTATAAGTCAATGAAATTTAAACTAGGAATCAAATTTTATACATTTATGCTATTTTTATTATTAAAAAAAAAAATAGAAATGATTAAAAATCCTTTAAACATATTATTATCAATTATAATAATAATCAATGAAAACTATTTTGTTTAAATTTCAATAGGTTTCATAACCTTTAAATGTTAATAGATAATATAGTATAATATTAAAGTTATTCAACATGAATTGAACAAAAATAAACTAAAACGATTTAAATTTAAATTTCATATATAATATTATGTATTGAATTTCAAAAAAATTTGCATGAAACATTTTATTGCAAACGCTTTTTTCTTTATTTGGTTTAATATGATAATTAAAAAAAAACCAAATTGTGACAAATTTAAATGCATTTTAAATGATATTTTTATAAATATAAATTATAAATGCAATATATAAAAAAGTTGAACTAAAAACTATCTTAAAGGAATTATTTCAATAAAAATAAAAAAAGAGTATGCAATATGCAATATTATTATGTCACGAATCTTAACGTTGTACAAGAAATTGTATACGATTATTTTATTTTTTACACCTTTTCAAGTGCAACCCTTATTTTTACTCTCTTAATATAGCACCTGACAGAATCGTTGGTAAAAGTCACGTTACTTTTTTGTTTTATAAAAAAATAATAACTGAGTTTCATTGTGCATGGTCACGAATCACATTACAAAATATTCTGGACAAGTTTTTTCCTATTATAAGAAGCATAATACAAAGAAATTACTTAACTTTTAAAGAATGAATATTTAAAACAGGCAAAGATTATCTGTTACTTTATATCAGTATAATTTAACGGAATAAAACAAATTTCCATCAGTCATTAAACTAAACTATTTTAAACTATTATCACGTACTTAAAAATACATTATCTACTTGAACATTTTGATAATTATTGTATAACTGTAAATATTTTACAATGGCTACTAAATAATATACTTATATACTTCCAATTTAATCAGTTATTGGGATTCCTTAATAAAATTTATAGTTATATAATATAACGTAATATATAATGTAATGATGTATAACATTGCAGTAATATTATTAAGCTA